GAGGAAGAGGTACATGGGCTGGTGCAGGCTGGACTCTGTCCAGGGTGGCGTTGCCCAAGAGGGACAAGACGTAGATGAAGCAGAAGGGGATGGAGAGCCAGGCCTGGACACTCTCCAGTCCCGGAAGTCCCAGGAGGAGGAAGGAGGTGGGAGGAGTGTGGCCACTGAGGTTGGTAGCTCCTGGCATAGCAGTAAATGAACCAGATGCCTCTCTCTCCAAGCCGCCTGGTCTTCTTACTTCTTACAATCTTACTTTTTACAATCTGCTGAATCTAAAAGTGGGCTTACTTCTCCCCCTTCAACTGATCTGCAATTTCTTTGGATAAGGCCTTCTCCTAAGCCACGGGACCTTCTGGTGCTGCTGCCAGCTGGAGAGTCAGTTTCCTGCCTCTGGATGATGAAGTGGGGTGTTCCTCTCAGAGAAATGAAGAACGTGAGAAACCCCACTCCAGGCTTTGTGTGCAGAAACTAAGAATAGCCCCCAACACAATTTCCATAGCTCAGTTCCTACTCAGGAACAATGAGGGGATTTCCTTGCTGCGTGCAGCTGAGGCTCCATTTTTAGAACGGGGGCTTTCCCTCGCTCCCAGGCCTTGCTATTCCCTTCTCACAACAGAGAGTTCAAGAGGAGGGAAAGAGTCACCCAGGCCTTGCCGCGTTCTCGGGGTGAGAGAGAAGATCTGCGGAGAGAAGGAAACAGGAACGGAGCAGAGCTCAGCTGCTGTAGTTGGAGTCAAGTATCACAAGCTATCGGTGGTCCCAACAGCCCTCGCCCCACGGGATGCTCCTGTCTGGGGTCCCAGTCATCCAGTTTACAATTTCTATTCCAGAGCCTTTTTAAGGTTTTTAGGACGAGATTGGACAGCCATGTCTCTGAAATTGTATTTGGTCTCTTCCTTGGGGGGGGGGTGTTGGACTTGAGAACCCCCGAGGTCCCTTCTGCAGTGTTATTCAGTTATTTCTTTCTATGATCACGTGTATCCATCCCATCAAGCCCAAAGAAAGTCTGGAATGATATAGGATCTCCTGTCACCGGCAGGGGGTTGGACTAGAACAGTGGTTCTCAACCTTTCTAATGCCGTGACCCCATAATACAGTTCCCCATGTTGTGGTGACCCCCAAGTGGGTGTGGCCACCAATAAGAGGGAGTAGGACAGCTAGGGAAAAGGGGGAAAAAATGGCGGACAGCGTGGTTTGGCGACCCCCGTGAAATGGTCATTCGATCCCAAATGGGGTCCGACCCACAGGTTGAGAACCACTGGACTAGAAGATCTCCAAGGTCCCTTCCAAATCTGTTATTCTGTGTTGTATATTAGCTCTCTCCCCTCGTTTCATCCCTTCTCATCCTGTGGGTTTGTAAAAATCAGAAGTCTGCACATTATGGAGTTACTTCAAGGTTAACTATGAGGGGTCCTTTGTGCCCTCTGAGCTTGGTAGTTTTCTTGCAGACATTTAATCACCCAAACTAGTCAAGCTATAGTTAACTATGGTTTCCCAGTCAGGTGTGCACTCACTGGATTCATCTGGCATCCTTTGCAAAAGAGTTACACACCAGGCATTTCAAGGTTGTGATTTACACACCTTCACTAAGCAAGCAGTTTGGCTTATAATCTTAGACAAACAGGGTCTCAAACTTAAAGGTACTTACCCCCCACCCTGTGTATGCATTGGTTCCTTTTATCCATTTCAATATTGATTTTAATCTTAATTTTTAATGTTTGATGCTTTAATGTTCTAATCCTGCCATTGTTCTGTTCTGTTATGTATAGTGTTGCAAGACAGCCAGAGACACTGAGTAGAGAGATGGGCGGTGTGCAAATTTAAAAAATAAACAAACTAAAATCCATTAACATACTTTTAGTTTTGGTCACCACGATGTAAAAAAGATGTTGAGACTCTAGAAAGAGTACAGAGAAGAGCAACAAAAATGATTAGGGGACTGGAGGCTAAAACGTATAAGGAACGGTTGCTGGAATTGGGTATGTTTAATGAAGAGAAGGACGAGGGGGGACATGATAGCAGTCTTCCAGTATCTCAAGGGCTGCCCCAAAGAAGAGGGAGTCAAGCTATTCTCCAAAGCCCCTGAAGGCAGGACAAGAAGCAACGGATGGAAACTAATCAAGGAGAGAAGCAACCTGGAACTAAGGAGGAATTTTGTGACAGTGAGAACAATTAAACAGTGGAACTGCTTGCCTCCAGAAGTTGTAGGTCCTCCAACACTGAAGGTTTTTAAGAAGAGACTATACAGCCACTTGTTTGAAATGGTATAGGGTTTCCTGCCTGAGCAGGGGGCTGGACTAGATGACCTCCAAGGTCCCTTCCAACTTTATTATTATTATTATTATTATTAAAGAGGCAACACTGAGACTTCACATTCATGTACACACACACACACACACACACACACACACACACTCACACTGAACCATTCCAAGCCACAACACGGACCCACCTGCGAGGCTGCTAAAGTCCAGGTGAGACTGGACCAGCAATGGGCCCCTCCACCTCCACCTCCAAAGAAGCAGCACACCTGGCGCAGAGTCTCCCAGGGATATATAGCTCAGGTGCTGCCAGGTAGCAAAGGGACTGAATGAAGATGCTGTCCAGGCAAGGGCCCTCCAGGGGATTCTGGCTCACATGATGCCCAGGGGTACAACGGCGTCACTGAAGCCCCACTGCTACTTGTGCCCCCCCGGAACGTCTGCCCCCCCGGAGTGAGGTCAGCTCTCATCCTCCTTTCCCTCTGAAAGAGGTGGAAGACCTGGGGGCTTGGGGGGTCTCAACAGAGGGCTTTCCCGTTGGGGGTGGCTGATAGATTAACGACAGATCCCATCTCCCCCCTTCTCACCATACTCCCCCCTCCCCATCTTTTTAGCCAGCTTGATATTTTTATAGTATTCTGTTTATATTACTAGGTTTGGGGCAATTTTATCTTTGATATTGTAAGTTGCCTAGAGTTACCGTGTGGTAAGGCGGGTGGCTAATACATTTTACAAATAAATAAAATAAATAAAACAGGGGTGGTGGAAGAACTGCTCCAGGGTTTGGTGCCTCTGAGACAGACTCTGTCTTTAGGACTACTGTTTCCTTTGTTTTGCTGCTGTTGTTGCAAAAGGCAGGATCAGCAAACAGAGAAACAAACCAAGATGGCAGCCTGGATACTTTTTTGCACCCATCGGAGCGTTATTCTCAGGCCTGGTGTGCAATAAGAGCCGAGGTGGCGCGGCAGTTAGAGTACAATACTGCAGGCCACTTTAGCTGACTGTGTTCAGCAGGTCAGCGGTTCAAATCTCACCGGCTCAAGGTTGACTCAGCCTTCCATCCTTCCGGGGTAGGTAAAATGGGGACCTAGATTGTTGGGGGCAATGTAAATAGATATATACATTGCTTACTGGTGTACACCGCTTAGAGAGTGCTTGCACTTAAAGCGGTATATAAGTCTCATAAATAAATAAATAAATAAATTCCTGTGTGGAGGTAAAGGGAGCTGAAGCATTTTTTGACCCCAAAGAGACAACGTCTGGAAGTAGTTCAGACCGACACCTCCCTGATTCACGTAGGAGGAGAGCAGCAGAACTGGCCTCACAAGGTCCCGCTCCTGCAACCCGTCGCAATAAAAGCACTTTTAGCCTCGCTGTGCAGCTGATTCCCTAAGGGGACCGGAGAGGGAAGGGGGTGTCCCAGCCCAAAGTGTCCAATAAGAGCTGGAAGACCCCAGGCCCTTCCATGGCTTGGCTGCTGCCAGCTGAAGTTGGGCAACTAGTAAGGTTCATGTGGAGGAAAGACGGATGACACCAGTTTCCTGCTGGAGCAGATGAACCTGCAGGCAATTACTTTCCCCTCCGAGCAACAGGTGAGGACTCTGGCCTGGGCTGAGAGGAAGGTTGATCCTTCAAGGACAGTTGGCAATCAAGGCTTGATCTGAAGGTAGGAGACCCATGTGTGCTTGAGACTTCTTCATGGGAATCACGTGCTCATGGGCCCCCTCATTCTTCCCCTCAAAAGAGCCAAGAGCCATGGTGGCGCAGGGGTTAGAAGGCAGCATTGCAGGCTGACTATGCCCACTGCCAGCAGTTCGGTCCTGACCAGCTCAAGGTGGATGTAGCCTTCCATCCTACCCAGGTTGATAAAATGAAGACCCAGATAGTTGGGAGTCAATAGGCTGACTGTAAACCACTTAGAGAAGGCTGAAGTGGTATATAAGTCTAAGTGCTATTGCTATTGCTTGCATTTCCTGCTTATGACCATGATTCTCTCAGATCAGGGCTGGAAGGGACCTCTTCTGGTCCAGTCCCTGCCCAAGGCAGCAGACCTTATACCAGGGGTCTTCAAACGTGGCCACTTTAAGACTTGTGGACTTCAACTCCCAGAATTTCTCAGCCAGCCAGGCCTGGCTGAGGAATTCTGGTAATTGGAGTCCACAAGTCTTAAAGTGGCCAAGTTTGAAGACCCCTGCCTTATCCCATCCCAGCCAAAGGGCTCTGCAATCTCTTCTCAAAAGCCTCCAGTGATGGAGCATCCACAACTCCAGGAGCCAAAGGGCTCCATTGATTAATTGGAGTCCTCTTTGCTGAAGAGCTAATCGGCAGAAGGCAGGTTCACCTTCCAGGTGGGCTTTTAGAAAGAGGAAGGAAGGGTGTTTTCGCTAAGAAAAAAGATGGCCTATCTCTGGCATAATGGAAGTAGCCTCGGGGTTGGGGTTAGCCCTAGGACATCCTTCCCCAAACCATCAAGTTTACTTTTGAGAGCAGATCTAGCTCCCATTCTTACATCGGGGGGGGGGCTTTTTAAAGATGCAAAAGTCCACTGCAGCCGGTCACGGATCTCCTTGGCCTTGGCCCCATAAACCATGGGGTTGAGCATGGAAGGGACCAGCAAGTAGATGTTGGCCAGCAAGATGGAAGAATTTATTTACATTCACATTGAACAGAAAGATCAAAATACACAATATTTGTTAATTTCACACAGCACTATGATGAGTTGGCCAGTCTGCTTTGGACCTACAGTTTCCTGCTTCGCATGCCCATAGCCATCAGCACCCGCACACGGATCTCCTTGGTCTTGGCCCCATAAACCATGGGGTTGAGCATGGAAGGGACCAGCAAGTAGAAGTTGGCCAGGAAGATGTGGACATTGTGGGGGATGCTGTGCCCAAAGCGGTGAGAAAGGAAGGAGAAAAGTGCAGGAGTGTACTGAATGAAGATGACTCCCACGTGGGCCCCACAAGTGCCCAGGGCTTTGTGACGAGCTTCGAGTGAGGGCAGGCAGAACACTGTCCGCAGGATCCGTCCATAGGAGACAAAGATGAAGGTCAAGTCTCCACCAACAACGAGGAGGGACACAACCAACCCATAGAGGTTGTTGGGAGTGGTGTTCCCACAAGCTAGTTTTACTAGAGCCATATGCTCACAATAAGTATGGGAGATATTTCGTGAGTGACAGAATCTCAGCCTCAGTAAAAGGAAAGGAAAGGGTAAGATGATTACAAAAGCCCGGATAGCAATGGCTGCTCCGAATTTGACCACTGTCCTTGGGCTCAACAGGGTTGTGTAGCTGAGTGGGTAGCAGATGGCCACATATCGGTCATAGGCCATGGCGGTGAGCGTCCCAGATTCCACAGCAGTGATGGCATGGACCGTGAACATCTGCACCAGGCAGGCAGCGAAGGTGATCTCTTGGGCCTTGGTCCAGAAGATGGCCAGCATCTTGGGCAGGACACAGGTGGGCATGGCCATGTCGGTGAGGGCCAGGATGGAGAGGAAGAGGTACATGGGCTGGTGCAGGCTGGATTCTGTCCAGATGACCCAGAGCAGGGTGGCATTGCCCAAGAGGGACAAGACGTAGATGGAGCAGCAGGGGATGGAGAGCCAGGCCTGGACACTCTCCAGTCCCGGAAGACCCAGGAGGAGGACGGAGGTGGGAGGAGCGTGGCCACTGAGGTTGGAAGGAGCTAATAAGAGAGGAAGAAAAAGCAATTCTCAGAGAAAGTTTTGCTCACAGCCTTTGTCTCTCTTTCACTTGTGTAAGAAACAGGGTCCTAAAGTGAACAACTGTCACATGTCACTTTTTATCAAAGGACCCCCACTTTTGGCCCCTTCGCCAAATCTGTGTTCTGCTTATTTAATTGTAAAATTTATTGGCTGCCCGTCTTACCACAAGGTAACTGTGGTACTCTGTGGTTACGACTCACCCTGCATTTTTTTCAACGCTCCTGGACTAGTCTGTGAATAAGAAATGGGAGAAGCTCCACTAACGGCCTGCAGGGAGAGAAAAGAGGGAGAAAGCAGAAGCTGGGTTCAGGCGGAACCTTCAGGGACCCTCAACTCGGAAACGGGGCTTTCCAAGAGGGTAACCGCTTTCGAATCATGGACTGAAAAATCTGAGCTTCTTGCCAATTCGTAGGAGGATGTTCCCAGTAGAAGAAAAGTTATATGGCTCCGGGATGAACGGTGGAGTTCTTGCTGCTCTCTCAGCTTTGCTTTTGTGCTTATTATGGGGAGAATCAGGAATTGGATCGATACTGTGTGTGTCCATTGATAATAAACATGGTTTCTGCTTGATTGTTTGTTTGGTGTTTCATTCGGTCACCATGATGTAAAAAAGATGTTGAAGCTCTGGAAAGAGGGCAGAGTAGAGCAACAAAGATGATCAGGGGACTGGAGGGTAAAAGTTACAAGGAACGTTTGCTGGAATTGGATATGTCTGGTTTAATGAAAAAAGAAGGACGAGGGGAGACAGGATAGCAGCGTTCCAATATCTGAGGGGCTGCCCCAAAGAAGAGGGAGTCAAGCTATTCTCCAAAGCCCCTGAAGGCAGGACAAGATGGAAACTAATCAAGGAGAGAAGCAACCTGGAACTAAGGAGAAACTTCCTGACAGAACAATTAACCAGTGGAACAACCTGCCTCCAGAAGCGGTGAATGCTCCAACACTGGAAGTTTTTAAGAAGAGACTGGGCAACCATTTGTCTGAAATGGTACAGGGTTCCTTGCCTGAGCAATAATTGGGGTATTGATTCCTGCTTGGTTGTTTGTCTAGTGTTAATCCCTGCTTCTCTGACTGTTTTACGCTTTTATTTTTTGTTGTTGGCTTTTGCTTTGTCTCTTTTCATTGGTGAGCAAATGTGGTTTATGTGTCTATTTATGGTTTTGTTTGAATGCCAACCTCATACCCATGAACACAAAACAGCAGTCAGAAGACACAATAAAAACTTCCTAATATCAGAGTATATGGAGACACTCAAGAATCATTTCAGCAGGAAAACTGTAAGCATTGTAGACCCAGCTAAATGCAAAAACGCCAGAGAATTCCTGGAAGGTGGGCATTCAGACAAATCAGCCATCAACGGACACATAGAGATAAACCCACATTTACACACCATTGAAGAGAGAATAAAAAGCTAAAAAGGAAACCAAGACTAGAACACAATTTCTCCAGTCAGCAATACTCAGAGAAGCAGGGATTAACACCAGACAATCATACCAAAGCCATATTTGACATCGATAGATGTCAACAATATTAATTCCTAATTCTTCTACTAAGAGGGAGAAAACCACAACCCCACTATCATACCCACACAGTGTATGTTGTGACATATAAACAGGGAGAAAACTCTCTAACACCGATGATGCTACCTAGTTGAGTTCTCAAGAAGAAGCTGAAAGTTTGTGGTTTGAAAAAGCTTATCCTCTAACCTCTACGCCAGGTGTTTCCAGGTGAAACACACCCACCCTGCTAGCTTTTCTCACAGACCTTTGCCTCCATGTCCATCACTGCTTCTGTGGCCCTCTAGATATCGCCTAGTTTCCCAATATCCTTCTGAAATTGGCTCCTGTGCAAATCAACCCATCCCCGGTGACATTCTGGTCGACAAGGGGAGAAATAAAAGCTACCCAGTTCCTTCCACAATATGTGGCTTTCTCCTCTTCATCCCTCCTCTAGATCTTCTATCCTGCCTTTGGGGGCCTCTTACCTGCCTTATCTCTTGTCCACCCCCTTCCCACCCCCCCAATGGTTTGGATAAGGCTCGTTTTGCTAGTTGAACATAAACCTGGTGAAAAACATGCTCACCTTTTGTCCTGGGAAGTCCCAAAGTGGATCTGTTTTCAGCATCTGCAAACAAGGAGAATTGAAGGTGAAGAGAATTTAAGCCCCATGGTGGCTTGGCTGGCTGCAAAAGCCCTTCCCTTCCCTTCCCCTCCCTTCGCTTCTCTCTTCCTTCCCTTCCCTTCCGCTCCCTTTCCTTTCCTTTCCTTTCCTTTCCTTTCCTTTCCTTTCCTTTCCTTTCCTTTCCTTTCCTTTCCTTTCCTTTCCTTCCCTTCCCTTTCCTTTCCTTTCCTTTCCTTTCCTTTCCTTCCCTTCCCTTCTCTCTTCCTTCCCTTCTCTCTTCCTTCCCTTCCTTTCCCTTCCCTTCCCTTCCCCTCCCTTTCTTTTCCTTCCCTTCCCTTCTCTCTTCCTTCTCTTCTCTCTTCCTTCCCTTCCTTTCCCTTCCCTTCCCCTCCCTTCCCTTCTCTCTTCCTTCTCTTCTCTCTTCCTTCCCTTCCCTTCCCTTCTCTCTTCCTTCTCTTCTCTCTTCCTTCCCTTCCCTTCCCTTCTCTCTTCCTTCTCTTCTCTCTTCCTTCCCTTCCCTTCCCTTCTCTCTTCCTTCCCTTCTCTCTTCCTTCCCTTCCCTTCCCTTCCCTTCCGCTCCCTTTCCTTTCCTGTCCTGTCCTGTCCTGTCCTGTCCTGTCCTGTCCTGTCCTTTCCTTTCCTTTCCTTTCCTTTCTTTTCCTTCCCTTCCCTTCCCTTCCCCTTCTAAGGCAGGGCAGAAGGGGGGGGAGCAGCATGGGGGGGGGGCAGGCCAGACTCACAGACCTGCCTCCCTCTATCCCTGGCCAGGCCTGCATCAGCTGGAGGATGCTGCCGTTAGTGGGGAGCCAAGTGGGGAGGAGAGGATCCCCTCCTCTGCTTTCATAGGCTCCTCTGAGGGGGGGGGTTCCCACCAGGGCAAGGCCAAGGGAGAGGTGGGCTCCCCAGAGGCCTCCAGGTGCCACCTTGCCCGCAGGTGCAGGACGGCGGCAGAGGCAGGGCTGCCCAGCCCTTCTCCTCAAGCAGACTCAGCCTCCAGCCCCAGCTGGTTCAGCGGAGAGGAGCAGTTTTAATTGGGGAAATAAAATATATCTAGATGACACCAATATTCTGAGTTTGCGTCGCTTGGGAGAGTCGCCCTGGGTGGTGTTTTCTTCCTATTCTGTGGGGACCCAGCCGAAGATGAATTTGGAGGGGCCTTCGGGGGGGGGGGTAGTGGGAGATGGGGACCCCCGCTTGGCTCTCAGGGTTGGGGGTCAACTTGCTCTGGATGGCCACAGCTGGTCTCTCTCAGCAAAGGTGGGAAAAGAGGGCAACACATTTATGAATAAAGAATTTCTCTCCACCTTGTGGCCTTTGCCAGGTTGGTCCAGAAAGTAGGCTATGAAATGGGCAGCATATAAATTTAATAGAAAGAAAGAAAGAAAGAAAGAAGGAAAGAAAGAAAGAGAGAGAGAGAGAGAGAGAGAGAGAGAGAGAGAGAGAGAAAAGAAAGAAAGACAAATAAGTGGGGGTGTCTGAGAGCCCCCCCAAAGAAGGCTCCTCTGTTCCAAAGACCAGCCCACTTCTGGCTTTCTAGAGCCGGGGCACCATCAGGTGGCAGAGCGACCCCCCCCCGGACCCCTCCCCTGGAGGGTCAGGGTTAGAGCCGGGCTCTCTTCCGGCCTTGTCACAACCTCCTCTGGGCCCTTGCAAGGTGGGCTGATTTGTGTAGCTGGCACTGAGGTGTTCCGGGCAGGGTCATCCGGGCGCCTTGATAGGGTCGCGACTGACCACGAGGGGCTGCTTTCTGATTTTAACCCTCTGGAGGCAGGACCCTCCCAGCCTGGGGGGCGGAAACTTTGCAACGGGGCTGGGGGGCTTTTTTGCAAGCCAGGCTGGGATGTGAGAAGCTCCTGTGGGCCTGACAGGGCATAACCCAGGGGTAGTCAACCTTGGTTCTTTTATGACTCGTGGACTTCAACCCCCAGAATTCCTCAGCCAGCGTGGGGAAAACTTTGGCCCCTTCATGACTTGTGGACTTCAACTCCCAGGATTCCTCGCCAACATAGGGGAACCATGGCCTCCTTGATGACTTCTGGACCAACTCCCAGAATTCCTCAGCCAGCATGGGGGAACTATGACCCATTCATGACTCGTGGACTTCAACTCCCAGAATTCCTCAGCCAGCATGGGGGAACTATGGCCCCTTCATGACTCGTGGACTTCAACTCCCAGAATTCCTCAGCCAGCATGGGGGAACTATGACCCATTCATGACTCATGGACTTCAACTCCCAGAATTCCTGAGCCAGCATGGAGGAACTATGGCTTCCTTGATGACTCGTGGACTTCAACTCCCAGAATTCCTCAGCCAGCATGGGGGAACTATGGCCCATTCATGACTCATGGACTTCAACTCCCAGAATTCCTGAGCCAGCATGGGGGAACTATGGCCCCTTCATGACTCGTGGACTTCAACCCCCAGAATTCCTGAGCCAGCATGGGGGAAACTTTGGCCCCTTCATGATTCATAGATTTCAACTCCCAGCATTCCTGAGCCAGCATGGCTCAGCTTGGAAACCTCTCCCTTTCCCCTCAGCATGGCTGGCTCAGGAATTTGGGAGTTGGAGTCCACGAGTCATAAAAGAGCCAAGTTTGAAGACCCCTAGTTTAAATATTTAAATATTTTTTTCCTCACAGTCACATGATCAAAATTCAGGCATTTGAGCAGGGGTAGGCAACCTTGACTCTTTTATGACTCGTGGACTTCAACTCCCAGAATTCCTCAGCCAGCCTGGCTCAGCTTGGAAACCTCTCCCTTTCCCCTCAGCATGGCTGGCTCAGGAATTCTGGGAGTTGAAGTCCACCAGTCATAAAAGAGCCAAGGTGGCCTACCCCTGGTATAGCCGGTGGCTGTAGTTATGGCCGACTGGAGTGTGCATTGTCCAGATGAGGGTCTGGCGGAAAACAAGCCCCCTCCCCTTTATCCCCTTTTCCGGCAGGCCTGGGGTTTATAAAATCTGACCCCTGGATGACTGTTATCGTACTGTTTGTTTTGTCATGTTTTATGTTGTTTTTATTGTTAGCCGCCCAGAGTCCTGCGGGAGTGGGGCGGTTTATAAATTTTAAAAATAAATAAATAAAATCTTTGCAGAGAGCCCCCAGTATCTAGCATCCTCTCCAAGTGTGGGAGGGGGGAGGCCAGGGGCGGATGAGAACAGGGATGCCTTGGGAAGGGTGGAGGGGTGATGGGGGGGGGAAGAGATGATGACCTCTTTGAGTAATTATTCTCAGTAGCAAGGAGCGTCTTTGATCAATGCTTTTTATTTATTTTCACTGATTTTCTAGGCTATAATGTTATTTACGCATAAATAAAGACGAATCATTCTACCATTTCCAGCTCAGATCCCAGTTTGACTGAAGGCAGACTAGTCTAAGAACCCTGTATGGAAGTTTAGGCTCCATTATTTTTTTTAAAAAATGTGATATATGAACTAACCTGGCCATCTCGGCCTCTTTTCTAACTTCAGGAGAATGTGTTATTTTTCTCCTTCTCGGCCAAGGCAAATTTCTTTTGGGGTGTGACAGCTTGTCTCTGCCTCCTGAATAAATGGTTTTTGCGTCGCCTGAATTACTTGGTGATTCATATTTTCGCATGGGGAGAGAATCCCCTTCGCAAAGGTAAAATTCTCTGTCTCAAATTCAGGTGCCAGGGTCCTATCCACGCCAAAGACGGGGTGCCTGAGTGGGGGGGCCAAAGGCTTTCTCTGGCGTGAAGATGCATCCTTATTTTGTTTTAAGATTGCAGAGATTGCTATACATTAAACCAGGGGTAGTCAACCTTGGCTCTTTTATGACTCGTGGACTTCAACTCCCAGAATTCCTGAGCCAGCTTAGCTGGCTCAGGAATTCTGGGAATTGAAGTCCACAAGTCATAAAAGAGCCAAGGTTGACTACCCCTGCATTAAAAAAATATTCAAGGAGCCCTTATGCGAGAGGGTCAGACTACTTTGCAAACTACCACAAGGCAAGGCAGGAAACAACGGGTGGAAACGAATGAAGGACAGAAGCAACCTAGAACGAAGGAGAAATTAACCAGGGGAACTACTTGCCTCCAGAAGTTGTGGGTGCTCCAACGCCAGGGGCTTTTAAGAAGAAACTGGACAGCCTCTTTGTCTGAGATGGTCCAGGGTCTCCTGGTTGAGAAGGGGGTTGGACTAGAAGACCTCCAAGATCCCTCCCAGCTCTATTATTCTATGTTCTATGCTTTGTTGGATGCAAGCCGCCCAGAGCTGGTTTTAAAATAGCCAGTTATACTCTTGCTATAAACTAGAGGTCTCCAAGCTTGGCAACTTTTAAAACTTGTGGACTTCAGCTTCTAGTGTTCTCCAGTCCAGGGCTTTTCAACCTTTTCACCCATTGTACCACTTTTAGGATATGGCAACATCCAAGTACCACCAGTCACCTAGCAAGGGGACAAAAACTGGATGACCAAAAAAGATTAAAAAAAGGAAAAAAGTGATGAAGTACAGGTAGTCCTCGACTTACAGTGACCGTTCAAAGTTACAATGGCACTGAAAAAAGTGCCCCCCAAGCCACAGCCGAGCAAGACACCTGCCTGCCCACTTGGCGGCGCTCTTCCTCCTGTCCGAGGTTTCCATTGTTGTGAGCATTTCTGTTGAGGATTGGCAGCGGGGGTGGGGTGGGGGGTGTTTGGTTTTTATTCCCCCCCCCATCTGCTGGGTGGTTGCAGCAGGTTTTGGTCACTTCACATGACCCTGGGACGCTGTGACCGTCATAAATATGAATCCGTTGCCAAGCCTCTGAATGTAAAGCACAAGACCTTGGAGAGGCTGCAACATTCCAGCTGATCGGCGCTTCTTCGGGGCTCAGCAGAAGCGCCAGGATCGGTGCTGCTTTCCAGCTGATTGGTGCTTCTTCTGGGCTCAGCAGAAGTGCCAGGATCAGCGCCAAGCTCCAGCTGGATCCTGGTGCTGATCCTGGTGCTTCCACTGAGCCCTGACAGCCCTGCAACTCCAGCCGTCTCTCGCTCAGGCTTGTGCGGTGCTGCCACTGGTTCAGCTCATTCCCTGCTACCACTTTTCTAGGATGGTCACGTACCACCTGCCAGGTGCCAATGTACCACAGGTGGTACCCGTACCACTGGTTGAAAAGTCCACAGGATCCCCTTTAAGGGGACCCCTTGAAGTCCACAAGCATTAAAAGCTGCCAAGGTTGGAGAGCCCTGCTCTACGCAGGCAGGTAGGCGGACAAGTCCGTAAGGAAAACGTGGAGACTTTTCCTCTGGAGGTCTCCCCAGTCCTTTCCTCCATAGGGGTCCTATGGGTCTTATATGGCTTATGGGTCTCTCTCTCTCTGGGTTGCAGAGCTCCAGAGAAGCTGCCCCTGCCTGACTCAGCGTTGCATGGATGGGGAGGGGGGCTCAGGACAGACCATGGAGCTGCTGCCAGTTGCCTCCCCCCTGTGCCTGGGCAATGCCTGGGGGGGAGGAGAAAGGAAGTCTTTACCTTGGTGGCCCCCAGCCGACTAGCGGCCAGTTCTTTCTTTAGCCAGCATCTCCTGCCACAATCAGTGGAACCACCTGCCTCCAGAAGCAGTAAATGCTCCAACACTGGAAGTTTTTAAAAAGAGACTGGACAGCCATTTGTCCGAAATGGTGTAGGGTTTCCTGCCCGAGCAGGGGGTTGGACTAGATGACCTCCAAGGTCCCTTCCAACTTTACTACTATTATTATTAAAATTGGCCCTGTTGTGCTCAGGTTACCCTAATGGACAGATGGAAAGACGGATGGGTCATCTTCATATTATTCACTTCTCAATATTCAGAAATGGGAAGTGGAAAGAAGAAAAACACCCCATTTGAGGAATTGGATTGCACGGAGGCCACCGATATGGTGACACCACTCCTGGGAACCCCACTCTGAAAGGATTGGGACAGAACACCAGAGTTGGAAGGGACCTTGGAGGTCTTCTAGTCCAGCCCCCTGCTGAAGCAGGACCCTATGCCATTTCAGACAAATGCGTTGTCAAATCTCTTCTTAAAAGCCTCCAGTGATGGAGCACCCACAACTTCTGGTGGCAAGCTGTTCCACTGGTTAATTGTTCTAACCACAGACACAGGTGTGTGATCTTCCTGGGAGCTGTGAGGTACCTCCGTCCTCAACTGTGCTAGACAGGATAGACACACTTCTAAGCAGAGCCAAACAGAGGCCAACTGGAAGGAGGTTTATTCTTAGGTGGACATAAAACATTTCTGGATGGCCTTCACTTTGTTCAATGTCATCCCAGAAAAGGAGCCCTCAGTTTAGGAAGTTCTGCAATTAAGTTCTGGAGTTCCTGCAGCCTTCGAGGTCGTGTCCAGTCCAGGAGGAAGTGGTCCTTAGAAAAGAGGCAGAGGACCACTCTTCCAAGCTGCTCCCTGCCAGCCCCTCAAGGAGGTCCCTTTTCAACCAACATCTTTCCCTGACCACCATATCTCAATCCTTCATAGTGCGTGGACCTCAAGCAAGAGACAGAAGCTTCAGTAGAGGCCAATGGATCTCTCTGATTTCACAGGTTCTGAAGCCCTCCTCCTCCTCCTCCTTTTTATCATCATCATCATCATCATCATTTAATGATTAATTTTACAGAGAAGCTGGAGGATTATCAGTTGATCCCCTGGAGATCTTCTTCTGGGGTGATGAGGCCTCCTCTGATAATGGGGGACAGGGACATGCAGGCATCTTAGAAGAAGCTGTGGGTCCAGCTGTGGTGAGCAAAGGTGCAGAAGAAGGGCTAGTAAGGTCCATCCTAGGGTCAGTTTGCGCAATCCAGGGATTGGGGAAGCAGTTTCAGCCTCCACAAGGAGGTCAAAAATTAGGATTTTGGCCACCGCAACAGGAAGGCTGCAGGGACCTGTGGAAGGTGGCAGCTGACTTGGGACCCAATGGACTCCAGATGTGGTCAGTGTCCATCTGCCCCCCCCGGGAATAAGAAAGCCCAAACCCACTTAGTTCTCTACACACAACTGGCTTCAGTGAGGCTCCCTGTCCCTGCTGAGTCTCATGTACTTTAAGACCCGTTTTCGGATGTCTTTAGTCCTGGCCCCATAGACGATGGGGTTGAGCACAGGTGGAACCAGGAGGTAGATGTTGCCCATGAGGGCCTGGAGCAGGAGAGGCGCGTCCTTCCTGTACCGGTGAATGACAGAGAGGCCGATCAGGGGCACGTAGAAGGCCAGCACCATGCAGAGGTGGGCCACGCAGGTGCCAGAAGCCCGGAGGCGCTGCTCCCAGGAGCTCAGCCCCAGGACGGCCTTCAGGATCAGCAGGTAGGAGACCAGGATGAGCAGGAAGTCCAGGCCCATCACCAGGCTAATGGCCACCAGGCCGTAGACGCTGTTCAGGGTGTTTTCGTCACACGCCAGGTTCATCATGTCTTGGTGGAGGCAGTAGGAATGCCGAAGACCCCGGTTGTTGCAGATGGTCAGCCGGTTGATGAGGAAGGGTAGAGGGAGGAAGAAGGCCACCCCTCTCACCAGAGCCACGATGCCCACTTTGACCGTCACAGAGTTGGTGAGGATGGTGGAGTACTGGAGCGGGCGGCAGATGGCCACGTACCGATCCACGGCCATGGCCAGCAGGATGGTGGACTCCATGCCCGAGAGGGAGTGGATGAAGAACATCTGGAGCAGGCAGGTCCGGTAGGCGATCTCCTTGGCATCAAGCCAGAAGAGAGAAAGGAGCCTGGGCATCGTGCAGGAGGCCAGCGCCAAGTCCACCCCTGCCAGCATGCCCAGGAAGAAGTACATGGGCGTGTGGAGGGTAGGCTCCGTTTTTATCACCAGCACCACGACGGAGTTGCCCACCAGGGCCACCACGTACATGGCACACAGGGGGAACGCCAGCCAGAAGTGGGCAGCTTCCAGGCCGGGCAAGCCCCTCAGGGTGAAGGGGGAGGGGCTGCCAAGGCTTCCATTCCTGAAGGGCATCGCCAGGGTGGCATCCGGGGCTCCGGGGCTCAAGTCTGCGGAAAGGAAAGAAGGCAGAGTTGGAACTGCAAGGAGACAGGCTGATACGGGAAGCTACCTGCTCTTTGCTCACCCCCCAGAAAAGAGTGCCAGCCCTTGCAGGGGGGCCCAGCAGGGAGCCCCGGGCCCCCTGGCTCGCGGGGTGACGGACAGCAGCCAGGAGGGGGTCAGGAAGAGGGAGGGCGGTCCCTGGGGCCCATAGAGACCTCTGTGCAACCGATTGACCGGCTAAGCTATGGCTTGAATTGCTAAGCCACCATGGGCTGGAGCCACATCTTACAGGTAGCCCTTGACTTACAACCACAGGTTAGCCCAAAATCTCCGTTGCTAAGCCAGACATCGTTGTTAAGTGAGTTTTGTCCCATTTTACGGCCTTTCTTGCCACAGTTTTTAAGTGAATCACTGCAGTTGTTAAGTTAGCAACACGGTTGTTAAGTGAATCTGGCTCCCCCCCCTTGACTTTGCTTTTCGGGTGGTCACAAAAGGGGATCACGCGGCCCTGGGACGCTGCAACGGTCATAAATACGAGTCGGTTGCCGAGCGCCTGAATTCTGATCACGAGACTGGGGGGGGGAGGGTGTAGCGGCCATCAATGTGAAAAACAATCTTAAGTCCCCTTTGTAACTTTGAACGGTCACTAAATGAAGCATTGTAAGTCAAGGCAGTGTGTGGTGGTGGTGGGGGGCGGGGGGGGGACGATTCAAGAGACCCACGTTCAGTTCCAACCGCGGGCCTGGAAACTCTCTGGGCCACACTCACACACCCCACAGGACTGTTGTTGAAGGAAAAAGTGGGGCAGGAAGAGGTAGGCGTGAGAGGAGCCACACTAAGCCACAATCACACCACAACAGCCCTCCCCCTCCCCCACCCGGCACTGAGAGTTGTGCAGTTCTAGCCACCGTTTCCTTTCTGATATCAATCAGCAGATGACAAGTTGCAAGTAAACATGAATGGCTGCAAAAATGTAACCCCCCCCCAAATATATGCAACTGTAGAATGCTAGCTGTGTTCCAATGTCTGAGGGGCTGCCCCAACGAAGAGGGGGGGGGTCCACCTCTTCTCCAAAGTGCCCGAAGGCAGGACAAGAAGCAACGGGTGGAAACTCATCCAGGAGAGAAGCAACCTGGAACTAAGGAGAAACTTCCTGACAGTGAGAACAATTAACCAGTGGAACCACCTGCCTCCAGAAGCGGTGAATGCTCCAACCCTGGAAGTTTTTAAGAAGAGACTGGACAGCCATTTGTCTGAAATGGTATAGGGTTTCCTGCCTGAGCAGGGGGTTGGACTAGATGACCTCCAAGGTCCCTTCCCTTATTCTGTTGTTCTGTTCTTCTGTCTCTCTTTCTCTCTCTCTCTGTCTCTCTCTCAGACACACCTGCAGACACAAACCCAGAAAACTTGCAGAACTGAAATTGTTATTAAAGCATCTTACCTTGCAAGATCATTTCCCCCCCCCCGTCTCTCCCCGTGCGCGGCTGGCAATTTGAATTCCCCCAGTAAATTCTTCCTTCCTTCCTTCCTTCCCGGGTGCCTTTAGCATGCATCCTCCATGAAGGCCCTCGGAGTCTCCAAGTCCAGCTTCACAAGCTCCTCAGCTCCACTGCTAAGACCCCCGTCCTGGCCCCACCCAGATCTTCTCCCTGAGGAGGACCCTCCCCGCTCCCCCGCAGGAGGCCCGTGGTGTGGCTGGAGAAGGCGAGGGCTCTCTGGCGGTTGTGGAGGATGCCTCGGTGGAGCCTTCTCAAGGTCAGCCCCCCTCCCCCCCCAGGGGACCAATTTGTCACTGCTGGGAAGGTCCCACCCAAGAAGGGCAGGGCCCAGGGAGGGAGTAGCCCATCCCGAGCTACTTTAGGCATCTGGAACTCAAGAGGAACCACCTCAAGCCGAACAAACCTCTCAGAGACACAGGCTGCCATTTCCCACGCAGCCCCGAAGAGAATTTAGAATAGAATAGAATAGAATAGAATACAAAATATGGAATAGAGAATAGAATAGAATAGAATAGAATAGAATAGAATAGAATAGAATAGAATAAAATGGAATGGAATAGAATAGAATAGAATAGAATAGAATAGAATTACAGAATGGAATGGAATAGAATAGAACAGAACAGAACGGAACGGAACAGAACAGAACAGAATAGAATAGAATAGAATTACAGAATGGAATGGAATAGAATAGAATAGAATAGAATAGAATGGAATGGAATGGAATAGAATGGAATGGAATGGAATGGAATGGAATGGAATAGAATAGAATAGAATAGAATAGAATAGAATAGAATTACAGAATGGAATGGAATGGAATAGAATAGAATAGAATAGAATAGAATAGAATAGAATAGAACAGAACAGAATAGAATAGAATTACAGAATGGAATGGAATAGAATAGAATAGAATAGAACAGAATAGAATAGAATAGAACAGAATAGAACAGAACAGAATAGAATAGAATTACAGAATGGAATGGAATAGAATGGAATGGAATGGAATAGAATAGAATAGAATTACAGAGTAGAATAGAACAGAACAGAACAGAACAGAATAGAATAGAATAGAATAGAACAGAATAGAACAGAATAGAGCTGGAAGGGACCTTGGAGGTCTTCTAGTCCAGCCTTCTGCTCAGGCAGGAGAACCTATATCATCTCAAGACAAGTGAGAATTCTTGAGCCAGCATGGGGGAACTTTGGCCCCTTCATGACTTGCGGACTTCAACTCCCAGAATTCCTGGCTCAGCTTGGCAACCTCTCCCTTCCCCCTCAGCATGGCTGGCTCAGGAATTCTGGGAGTTGAAGTCCACGAGTCATAAAAGAGCCAAGGTGGCCTACCCCTGGCATAGGGTCTCCTGGCTTGAGCAGGGGGTTGGGCTAGATGACCTCAAGGTCCCTTCCAGCTCTGTTACTCTGTTTTGTTTTCCTCCCCTCTCCCCGAGGACTGAGTAGGCTCTTCTCTGCTGAGCCTCCCAGCTGGAAGGGAGCATGGGACCCTCTGGGTGGCTGAGCACACAGATCCCCCCAGTTGCCATTCCCTACTTGTGGGGCTGATCAACGTGGAAGGGACCCCCAATATGTCCCTTCCAGCCCTTGGATTCTGCTTTAGACTCATTTGATGCAGGGCTCCCCCCCACCCTTAATTTTACTTCCCTGGTTTTTCTATACAGAGATAGAAAACCCCCAAAGCTGCTCCTGAGACGTGCTGGGGGCTGGAAAAGCTGTGAGCGGAGGATTAGTCACCAAGGAGGGATGACGGCCAATGCTTGAACTCTCCTGCTGTGGGAATTCTGAGGACGTTTCTGGGTGTCCTAGAAGAAAAGCCGGGTCAGCCGCTGGCGTGCCGAGCCCTCTTCCCAGAAGTGACTAAAGTTCCTCCCTAGAGGCCAGAATGCGCTCTACGGGTCTTCCCCTGGCTTCCCCTTGGGACAGGGAGAGGAATCTGGGGTGGGGTGGGGAATAGGGGCTGGGGGACATCCCCAGCTCGGCCATGCAGCCCCGAGGGGACCTCTGGGTGGGCAATTCCCATTCCTGGGAACGTAAAACGGATCTTGTAGCTTCCTGATCCAGCCAATCCTCCACTGTTTATTTAGCTTTGACATTTGAGTTGGATTTATTGGAAGATGAACCTCCGGGATTTTCTTGGATGAAATGCTCGGAAATGGCCTGGGATCTGGCCATTGTCACCCAGCTGCCGACCTCCTCAGCCCCCTGATTGGCAAACGCAGGAGATGACCAGCTCTGTCCCTTGGCCAGCAGCCCCGCCTAGGATGATGACCTCTCGGCAGCCGGATGTAGGAGAACAACAGGCAGAGCTGAGGGGTGGCGGAGTTAAACAGGTCACCAGCTTAGAGTCCTTAAGTGGCCACAAAGGATCCAAGTCCACCCCCCTCTTGAACTCCGTTGACTCTCACCTGCCGCCAATTCAGTATTGAACATTAATTGCCCAGATTTTTGTGTATCGGCTTGAATACAGGTAGTCCTTGACTTACAACTGAGCCTGAAATTATGTTGTTAAGTGAGACATTTGCTTTGCCCTATTTAATGACATTCTTGCCACAGTTTTTAAATGAACCACTGCAGTTGTTAAGTTAGTAACAACTGGTTGTTAAGTGAATCTGGCTCCCCTTGTCAGAAGTTCGCAAAAGGAGGATCACACGAGCCCAGGACACTGCAACGGTCATAAGTATGAACCAGTTGCCGAGGGTCCGAATTCTGATCACGTGACCATGGGGATGCAGCAACGGTCGTAAGTGTGGAAAACGCACATAAGTCACTTTTTTCAGTGCTGTCGTAATTTTGAGTGGTCACTAAATGAACCTTTGTACGTTGAGAACTATGGATCAATTTTCTGTACTGCAACTTAACTAGTGGTCCTTTGCGCCTGACATAGGATCGTCCCCTGCCCATGAGTTCTCGGAGGTCGGGATCCCCGTCTTCTTCTGCCTTGGTCACCTGGAGCCCCTTTCTCCTGCCATGAGCAAGTCCCTGCAAGGGCCTGGGGGTCACGCCCCCCGTCTCCCATAATCCCATGGAGGGGGGGGGAAGCTGACCGGACGTTCCTTGAGGAGGAGAGGCTCCAGGAAGGAAAGGCCAGCTGGCCAGCCTGACCTTTCCCTTCAGTTTTGATCAATCCCACAGGTGAAGGGCAGCTGGAAGAGGGGAGGGGTCTGTGTGCTCAGCCACCTAGAGCAGTGTTTCTCAACCTTGACAATTTTAAGGCATGTGGATTTCAATTCCCAGAATTCCACAGCCAGCGTTGCTGGCTGTGGAATTCTGGGAATTGAAGTCCACATGCCTTAAAATTGTCAAGGTTGAGAAACACTGACCTAGAGGGTCCCAACTGGGAGGCTCGGCAGAGAAGAGCTTAGTCAGTCCTGGGGGTGGCGGAACCAGAACAGAACAGAATAACAGAGTTGGAGGGGACCTTGGAGGTCTTCTAGTCCAACCCCCTGCTCACGCAGGAGACTTTGTACCATTCTGAAGAAGTAGCTGTCCAATCTCTTCTTAAAAACCTCCAGTGATGGAGCACCTACAACTTCTGGAGGCAAGCTGTTCCACTGGCTAATTATTCTCCCTATCAGGAAGTTTCTCCTTGGTTCCAGGTTGGAACACAACTCCCCAACTGTCTATGGCAGGGGTAGGTCACCTTGGCTCTTTTATGACTTGTGGACTTCAACTCCCAGAATTCCTCAGCCAGCATGGGGGAACTATGGCCCCTTCATGACTCGTGGACTTCAACTCCCAGAATTCCTCAGCCAGCATGGGGGAACTATGGCCCCTTCATGACTCGTGGACTTCAACTCCCACAATTCCTAGGCCAGCATGGGGGAACCTTGGCCCCTTCATGACTGGTAGACTTCAACTCCCAGAATTCCTGAGCCAGCATGGGGGAACTATGGCCCCTTCATGACTTGCGGACTTCAACTCCCAGAATTCCTCATCCAGCATGAGGGAACTATGGCCCCTTCATGACTCGTGGACTTCAACTCCCAGAATTCCTCAGCCAGCATGGGGGAACTATGGCCCCTTCATGACTCGTGGACTTCAACTCCCAGAATTCCTAGGCCAGCATGGGGGAACCTTGGCCCCTTCATGACTGGTAGACTTCAACTCCCAGAATTCCTGAGCCAGCATGGGGGAACTATGGCCCCTTCATGACTTGCGGACTTCAACTCCCAGAATTCCTGAGCCAGCATGGGGGAACTATGGCCCCTTCATGACTCGTGGACTTCAACTCCCAGAATTCCTCATCCAGCATGAGGGAACTTTGGCCCCCTCATGACTCGTGGACCTCAACTCCCAGAATTCCTCAGCCAGCATGGCTCAGCTTGGAAACCTCTCCCTTTCCCCTCAGCAAGGCTGGCTCAGGAATTCTGGGAATTGAAGTCCACGAGTCATAAAGAAGCCATAGTTTCCCCATGCTAGCTCAGGAATTCTGGGAGTTGAAGTGCACGAGTCATAAAAGAGCCAAGATTACCTACCCCTGGTTTATGGAGATTCTTAGCCATCCAAATCATGGTTGCCCCAAAGGTGCCTTTCCGAAAAGCAACTGGAAATGTTTCTCGTCTCTTCCAAGAACTTCTTGGAGGAGAAGACGCTTTTCAAGGAAAAAACCCCAGCAAAGCCTTTTGAAAAGCACCTTTGGGGCACCAGGTAGGAAGGCTGTGGGGGCCCCTCCCCACCAGGCACCCAGAGGCGCTGGGCTTCCCCTGTGCGAGAGGAGCGTGGAAGACGGGTGTGAAAAAAGTGTGTGTAGGTGGCACAGAGGGTGGCCAAACCACAACCTCATCAGCACCACTGAAGGCTCAGACATTTCTGTGGCTTCTTCTTCTTCCTGCCCAGCTGTCCTGCTGCGATGGCCGTTTTCTCCCGTCGCTTGGAGGGGTTCCAGGCTGGCTGACGAGGAGGAGGAGCGTTCCCAGGGGAAACACGCAACGGAGTAGTTTTGTTTGTGACACTAGAAAAGCCTGAACTTCCTTGGAAATAGGAGGCTAGAGACACGAGGGAGAGGAGGGAGGGGGGGGGTCCCCTTTGACCTCTCAGCCCTGCCGGTGAATGCAGAGCTAGCATTTCTCCCCAAAGTAGGGGTACTCCAGACAGACCCCCATCGTGGGCTGTCCTTCCCTGCCCACTGCCACTGCCGGGTGTCTGTGGAAGTGGGACCATTTGTGGCTGCTATCTTGACTTTGCCCCCCCTACACTTCTGGGACACCCCCCCTACCAGCTGCCCTTGCCCCCCCCCAGGCAGGCTGCTAATGTCCAGTGTGAGGCCATCCCTTCCTGCCCCTGGACGGAGAGAGCCTGTCCTGCAGTCCACAAAGGCCGAACTGCTGCTGCTGCTGCTATTTTTAAAGCGGAGGGTGGATTGCCCGAAGTCCTTGTAAGGGAGAAAGGAAGAGCAGGGATTTTTCTATAAATAAATGAAAATAATGTGAACCGGAAGGGTGTCTGGGCTCCAGTTGGTAAAGCTCTGCTCCACTTGGGACTGTCTGGGGAGCTCAAAAGCTGGGTCAGGGAAAGAGCCTGGGGGTGGGCTGCCAGCTCCCTCCAGCACCTGAGCCCCCCTGGATGGGGGAGTCTTGGAGAAGAGAGGGGCAGAGGGGAACTGGGGAGAGAACGTGCAGAGGTAGCAGGGAGATCCTGAGGGTCCCACTGAGGAGGGGCAGCAGCTCTCTGGAGCGATGGAGTGTAAGACCTCCTGCACCCCCAAGTAGGGAGGGCTCCCCTGCCTGGAGGTTTTAATTTGCCCCCCTCCCCCCAGCAGGGAGAGGGCCCCATGGCTGCCCTTTCAAGTCTAGGGTTCAGGGCCTCTGCAGCTAAGGAAGTCTAACTGTTCTTCATCACGTTATAATAAACTGAATAAACAGAACAACAAAGTTGGAAGGAACCTTGGAGGTCTTCTATTCCACCCCCCAGCTCAGGCAGGAAACCCTATACCATTTCAGACAGATGGCTGTATAGTCTCTTCTTAAAAACCTCCAGTGTTGGAGGACCTACAACTTCTGGAGGCAGGTTGTTCCACTGGTTAATTGTCCTCACTGTCAGGAAGTTTCTCCTTAGTTCTAGGTTGCTTCTCTCCTTGATGAGTTTCCATCCGTTGCTTCTCGTCCTGCCTTCAGGCGCTTTGGAGAATAGCTTGACTCCCTCTTCTTTGGGGCTGCCCCTGAGACACTGGAACACTGCTATCATGTCCCCCCTCGTCCTTCTCTTCTAAACCAGACATCCTCAATTCCAGCAACTGTTCCTCATATGCTTTAGCCTCCAGTCCCCTAATCCTCTTTGTTGCTCTTCTCTGCACTCTTTCTAGAGTCTCAACACCTTTTTTTATAGTGTGGAGACCAAAACATTAAGTCAACCTCAAATGGGCTACAAGAATCGAATCCCACAGCAAATCAGAGGAATAGATCCAAGGCTAGTCTGGCTCCCCAAAAGCTGGGATGGGGAACACTGAGCTTCAGGAGGGTCTTCTCAAATGTTGTGGGGTAAGTTCTCCATCAGTCTGTCACATAGGAAAGTTACGACAGACGAGTTTCTATAGTCTTTTCTAGAAACCCTTTATCTGGTATTCTGTTCTTCCTTAAGGTTTCAGTTTCAGTGCAATCCAGGACTTTTTTTTTCTTACTCTCAGAATTTCCTACCGTAAAATCCTGCTTTTCTTCCTTGCAAAAATGTTGTACATTCTCTTCCGAATCTGCTGGGTCTTTAGGCTGTAGACGATGGGATTAAGGAGAGGTGGGACCACAATGTAGATGTTGGCCATCAGCAGGTGGACCAGGGGGTGCTGGTGCTTCCCGTACCGATGGAGCAGACTGACGCAGATCATGGGGATGTAAAAAATGAGGATGGCACAAACGTGGGAGACACAAGTGTTCAGAGCCTTCAGACGTCCTTGGTGGGATGCCATGCCTAGAACCGTCTTCAAAATCACAACGTACGAGGCGAGGATGATGACCACATCCAACCCCAATGTAAAAATGATGATGACCACCCCATACAAGATATTGACCTTAATGTCTGTACAGGCCAGATTCATTACGTCGGGATGGAGACAGTAGGTGTGAGAAAGTCTCCTGGATTTGCAGAAACGTAGACGCTTAATCAGAAAGGGAACCGGGAAGGAGACAGAGATACATCTAACTGCAGTGGCTACTCCCATTTTTGCCACAACGGTGTTTGGGAAGAGAGTTCGGTATCTCAGTGGCTCACAGATTGCAACCAGGCGGTCGAAGGCCATGGCCACCAGAATGCCAGACTCCAGCCAGTGAAAGGCGTGGATGAAGAACATTTGGGTGATGCAAGCATTAAATAGGATGTCCTTGGAGTCCAACCAGTAAACGCTCAGCATGGTTGGGAAGGTGGACAGGGAGACTCCCAAATCTGAGCAGGCCAGGATGGAAAGAAAGATGTACATGGGTTCCTGAAGGCGTCGGTCGCTCTTGATGACAAAGAGAATGAGGCTGTTTCCAAGCAGCGTGGAGACAGAGAGCACAAAGAGGAGGAAGGCCATCCAAGCGTTCTTCGCCTCCATCCCAGGAATTCCAGTCAGGACGAAGGTTGGCAGGTTCAGGCTGCTGTTGTTGAACACTGTGACAGCTGACACACTTCCTACAGGAACATCTGATACAGCCATGTTAGGAAGCCACAGAGGTGAATAAGGACTGTTATGTACTTTGGAAAATATCTGCAGTCGCTTGAAGTAGGAGAATGTTTGAGTTTACTCAGACAGGTTACAACATGAGAGCTTACAGACTAATTTAAAGAATGGAGCTCAGCCTGATCATTGGTTCAGTTTTGTCCTCCCAGGTCATCAATGTCCTCTTCTTATTGTAAAATGTACTCCTGTTCCTTTTCTTAGTTCTTGGCATCATGAGGAACCTCAAGACCTCAATGGTTTGGGACTCCTGGTGGCTTTGAGTATGGACTCAGAGTTTAAAGACTTCCTCTTTTAGCTAGGAATCAATCGGGAATCTGTAGACATGTCTCCTCAGCTCTCCTCTGTAGACAAAACATACCAGATCCATTAGCTGCTCCTCATAGGACTTGGTTTCCAAACCCTCATTTAGCTCAGAACATAGAATAACCAGGTTGGAAGGGACCTTGGGGGGGTCTTCTAGTCCAACCCCCTGCTCAGCAGGAGACCCTATCAGTTGTCCAATCTTTTATTGAAAGCCTCCAGTGATGGAGCACCCACAACTTCTGCAGGCAAGCTGTTCCCCTGGTTAATTGTTCTCTTCTTGCTGGCTGGCCTGGCTCTAAACTTGATCTGTCCTGGACACCACCGTTCAAAAAGGGCAGCCAGGCAGGACCGCAACTGCGGCCTGACCCACACAGAGTAGAGAACGACAATTACTTCCTATGGTCTGAACTTTATGTCCTATTAATGTACCCAAAGACAGCATTAGACTTTTTAGCAGCTGCGTCATGCTGATGGGTTATGTTTAACTTTGGCTAAACAAGGACGCACCGAGATCTCTTTCACTTGGACCGGTGCCCAGAGAGGGACTTTCCCCCCAGCCCAGATTTGGGCTTCCATTTGTCCTATCCAAATGCAAAACCCCAGGCTCTACACGAGGCTGCCCAATAGGAGGATTTGGAAGTTCCAAAGGTGGGACTTTCTTCATTTTTTCCCCTTGAAGACGTTTCGCTTCTCATCCCAGGAATCTTCTTGGATGAGAAGCAATTATGTCTTCAAGGAAAAAAATAAAGTCCAGTTGCCTTTTGGAAAAAACTCCTTTGGGACAACCACAACCTGGATGATTGTGGGGAGAATCTCTGTAGACATACAGCATTGAGAAGCTTCACCTGGTCCACAACACAGCCTCCTGTACCGTTTTGGGCACACTATGGTATCCTTACGTTAACTCACTGCTCCGTGACTGCGCTGGCTCCCAGTGGGCTTCCGGATGCAGTTCAAGGTGCTGGTTGTCACTTTTACAGCCCCACAAGGCCCGGGGCCAGGCGGCTTCTGGTCTCTGCCCACCCCACCAGATCTGTAGGTAGGGTGGGCAACCTCTGGGTTCCCTCGGTGAAGCTAAAGCTTCTAGCAGGACCTTCTTTTGTGGCACCTCCTGATAGAACAACTTCCCTCTGAACTGCGGACAGCCCTGACCCTTTTGGCCTCTCAGATGCCTTGAAGAGCTCGTCCCCTCTGTCCAGGTGTTGGGGCCGGGATGTTAGTGGATCCCGAATGCTTTATTTTGCTAAAGAAAGGTTTAAGGGGTTTTTAGAATTGGTTCTGTTGTGTTTTTATCATGTTGGTTCCCTCCAGAATTAAATTCATTATGAGGGGCGTATTCTCCCTCCCCTCTTTCTTTCTTTCTTTCTTTCTTTTTAGTCTCTCCCCCCCTCTCTCTTTTTCTTTCTTTCTCTCCCCCTCTCTTTTTGTCTTTCTTTCTTTCTTTCTTTCTTTCTTTCTTTCTTTCTTTCTTTCTTTCTTTCTCTCTCTCTTTCTCTCTTTCTTTCTCTCTCTCTCTTTCTTTCTTTTTAATCTTTCTTTCTTTCTTTCTTTTTAGTCTCCTCTCTCTCTTTTTCTTTCTTTCTCTCCCCCTCTCTCTTTGTCTTTCTTTCTCTCTCTCTCTCTTTCTTTCTTTCTCTCTCTCTTTCTCTCTTTCTCTCTCTCTCTCTCTTTCTTTCTTTCTTTCTTTCTTTTTAATCTCTCTCTCTTTCTTTCTTTCTCTCTCTCTTTCTCTCTTTCTCTCTCTCTTTCTTTCTTTCTTTCTTTCTTTTTAATCTCTCTCTCTCTCTTTCTTTCTTTCTTTCTTTCTTTCTTTCTTTCTTTCTTTTTTTCTTTCTTTCTTTTTTCTCTCCCCCCTCTCTCTTTCTCTCTCCCTCTCTCTCTCTCTCCCTATCTACCTATCTATCATCTACCTATCATAAATGAATTCCACTGTACACATTTCAGCCCACAGCTCGAGCTGGTCTAGACATTTTCAGTTTTTCCCTTCTCATTCTGTCTCAGACTCTAATGTTCAGAGGCCTCTCTGGGTCACCTGCAAATTGGTGTTTGTTCATTGGCTGCATTGAAAGCAGCCTCCGTCGGCAAGATTGAGATAATACATGCCAATAACTCCCACTCCTGGGGGGGGGGAAAACAGACATTAATACCTTAAAAAACTGCTCAAATGTTACCCTCAAACTTTAAGATGTGTGGACCAGTTCCCAGATCTCCCCAATCAGCCAGTGGGGTGAGGAGGGCAGGGTGACCATTTAAATTAAGTTGATATCAAGAAATAATCCATGATTGAGGATATGAATTCGACTGATGCTTTGCAGAGATATTCTTATCCAGGGGTCTTCAAACCTGGCTCTTTGATGACTTGTGGACTTCAACTCCCAGAATTCCTCAGCCAGGCACGTGTGCCTGGCTGAGGAATTCTGGGAGTTGAAGTCCACAAGTCATCAAAGGGCCAAGTTTGAAGACCCCTGTTCTAATCTATCTTGGCCAGCCTTCTCCTCCTCCCCCCCTCAGAAAAGGCCAAGTCCTAGACCTGCCTTAGGCACCAAGCCGGCTGGATGACCTTGGGCCAGTCCTCCTCTCTCAGCCCCAGGAAAGAGGCAATGGCAAAAACCTTGCCAAGAAAACAGCAGGGACCTATTCAGTAACAGACACAACTCAGTGGAAGGAAATCAAAATACCTCTCTTATTTCTCCAAAAGTTCTCAGGAGTTCCTGACATCTATTCAGCCAGTTCCTTCAATATACTGCAGGAAGGAGGGTCCTCTGGAGAACCTGGGGACTTGAAGGCACTCAAATTGGCTAGAAGATCCTTTATCCCACTTTTTTTTTCTGATTTGCACGCTTTCCTTTTTTCAGTATCACCGCAATGCATCCGTTCACATAACCCAGACCACATGCAGCTACTACCTTGATAAAGATGGATGCAGGGGGACTCTTCACACAGGAAATACGGCCGATTTAAAGAGTGTTTGGTTACTGTTCTTGGAAGAGGCCGAGTCAGGCTAAAGCCCTGGGAATAATCCCTTACAACTTAGCTAAGAAGCTCTGAAGGAGAAAGCCCTTCTCCCTGTTCCAGGAAGAGACCCTGCAATTTCCACCAGACAAGACATTTATATGATGTAGAGAAGCACTGGCTGCTTACACCAGAGGGAACTCCTTTGAGAGTTGGTCAAGGCAAAGTTCTTGGTCCGTGTAGTCGCTAAGGAATTCTGGGGACTGTGGAAAGTCAGCCCCCCAGAGAAGGAACTATTAAAAGGGCAGAAAAATATATTTCCTCAAAGGATCTTAAAGAGGCAGAAAAGCATGCCCATTTTTTTTTCTTAATAGCCCCAAGTCTCCCTTCCCCCAAGCAGAAACCAGCTCTGTAGAAATGCAGATGTGATAATCCATTCAGGAAGGTTGGAGGCCTCCAGCTAGAAAGCTTAGAAAGACAAAGAGACTTAAAATCTACATACTCCACCCAAACTCTAAGACAGGACCTAATAGGATTAACCCAGAGATGCCAAAGGGGCACACTCAGACTCAGGTCAAAATGCATGACACAGGAAATACAAAGCCTCAAACAGGAACAGGAAACAATCTCCAGAGCCCCAGAGGGTATAAAAACCCACTCCCTACATGTGCTCTCTCTCTCTCTTTTCTTCCAGAGCCATCTTCCTGTCTGGCTCTCCTCTTCAATAAACTGCAACCTTCTTTCTAAAGCAGTTGCCATGTTGTTTATTCCCGGCTTGGACTGAACCAGGATGAAGTCTTTTCCTTCAACAGGACTAACAGTGGAAAATATTTGTAGTTCAGGGCTGGAGTGTGGGGTTCTTGGTGGTCTCTGAGTTTGGTTGTTTTCTTGCAGATGTTTTGTGATTCAGCAAGGTAGCATCCTAGAGCCCTGGTAGAATGCAGCACTGCAGGCTGCTTCTGGTGACTCCCAGTGCCAGCAGTTTGGCAGTTTGATTCTCACCAGCTCAAGGTTGGCTCAGCCTTATGTCCTTCTGAGGTCGGTAAAATGACGACGCAGATGGTTGGGAGTAACAGGCTGACTATGTAAACCATTTAGAGAGGGCTGGAAAGCACTGTGAAGTGGTATATAAGTCTAAGTGCTATTGCTTGCTAAGTGCTATCCTCAGTGTTAGAAGGGAGAGGGTTTTGTGGAGTGGAGAAATATAGAAGATAGACCATCAGAGTTGGAAGGGACCTTGGAGGTCTTCTAGTCCAACCCCTACTCAAGCAGGAGACTCTATACCATTTCAGATAGGTGGCTGTCCAGTCTCTTCTTAAAAGCCTCCAGTGATGAAGCACCCACAACCTCTGGAGGCAACTTCCATTCCACCGATTAATCGTCCTCACTTTCAGGAAGTTCCTACTTAGTTCTAGGTTGCTTCTCTCCTTGATGAGTTTCCATCCGTTGCTTCTTGTCCTGCCTTCAGGCGCTTTGGAAAACAGGTTGACCCCCTCTTCTCTGTGGCAACCCCTGAGATATTGGAAGGCTGCTATCATGTCACCCGTCGTCCTTCTCTTCATTAAGCTAGACATATGCAATTCCAGTAAACGTTCTTTGTATGATTTAGCCTCCAGTCCCCCAATCATCTTTGTTGCTCTTCTCTGCCCTCTTTCTAAGATCTCAATGTCTTTTTTATATTGTGGCAATCAAAGCCGGATTCAGTATTCCAAGTGTGGCCT